GGAACAAAAGGGAAGCAGCTGTGAAGCGTCCTGAGGAAGGAGAGGGGAGCGAGACCAACAGAGGCAGGGCCCAGGGACAGTGGACAAGCTCTGGGGCCGCCAGCTGGGAGCTAGCCCAAGACCCCTACCTCAAGGGTCAGGGGGTCAAGACAGACAGACGGAAGGTCACAGAGACAGACAAGACACCCATCAGACAGCCAGACAGAGAGGAGACAGGGAGGGGGCATCAGAGCCAGAGAGACCAGACAGCCAGACACAGAAGGGGACAGAAGCAGAGAGAGCAAGGGCAGGGAAGGGAAGGGGAGGGGAGAGGAGAGGAGAGAGGAGAGGAGGGAAGAGGGGAAGAGAAAGAAAGGAGAAGAAAGAAAAGAAAGGAAAGCAGAGGAGGAGGGCTGAAGGCGGCAGCAGCAGCAGCAACAGCAGCTGCTACAGTGAGACAGGAGCCTTTGAAGGAGGCAGCATCCCCAGGGCTGGGGTCAGGCCAGGTCGCCAGCCTCCCGATTAGCGGCCAGCAGCATGAGTGGCTCGGCGCTCCTGAGGAGGAATTCTAGCAGACGGGGTCTGGAGCAGCTTCTGAGGTAGGTCCCCTACCCGGCCCGGGGTGGGTGCCCACAGTGCTGCCATGCACGAGGGCACCCACTGTCTGGGCTGGGCCTGCTGAGCTAGGCTTGTGGATGTGGGGCTGTCCCGGCCTTGCTCCTGCCGGAGTCAGGCCACAGGGGTGCCAAGCTGGCCACGTGCACGTGCAATGGAGCACGAGGCCATCACCTCCCTGGGCCCTGGCAGCGCGTCCTCCCCTCACTTTCCTCCTTCTCCCACCTGCGCGGCTGCCTCCACTCACAGGCCTTCGCAATACCCAGGACGGAGAACAGGGCCTCAGGGAGGCCTGCCGCTGGCCTCGGGGCACCGTCAGTCACCCTGCTTTACAGATGGCACTGGCCTCGGAGCCACATATGCCAGCCACCCTTGGTGTCCAGCCCCACGCGGGAGGCACTGTTGCCTGAGGAACACTTGGGCCTTGGAATCCTGGTTTGCTGGCTGCTGGCTCCTAGCCAGTGCAGAGTTCTCTCTCAGTCTGTTTCTTCCTCTGTAAAGCACAGTGTGGTGGCACCCACTTGGCAGGGTTATGATGATAGCACAGGTACTAAAGGCCCCAAGGCCCCTCAGAGTTCAGACAAGGTGAGCTCAGAGCCACCACTCCCGTCAGTGGCTCTGAGCCACTTGCACTGCCTTTCCTCCTTCTCAAACTTCCAGACTGCAATGTCACCTCCTCCAGGAAGCCTGCATGGTTCTCCCTGGCTGGGAGAGTGATTCTTCTCTGCCAGCCTGGTGTACTTTCTTCCTGGCTCCTTCCAGGCCCAGCATCTCTCAGTACCTCCATGAACTGCAGCCCTAGTCCTCTGTGGTGAGCCTAGAGGTACAGATAGGGTCATAGGTGTCTGCTGAACAGAGTTCAAGTGGCCTAGGGTACACCAGCTCCTGCTTGCTGGGTGCGTGCAGATGTAGAGATGGCTTTCTCCACGTCCTCTTCCAGGCACGGTCCTGGCCCAGGACCAGGTGGCCCTCATGGTAGGCTCCCTACAGTTGCGCTTGCCCTGGGCCCCATGAGCCCTTCCTGCTGTTCTTCAAGGGCTCAGTTCCAGGATGCCCAAGGCCCTCCCTCCCAACTCCCTGCCCTGTGGGATGTGTCCCCAGCCCCTCACCCCAGTCCTCTGGGAAGCTCTGTGGCCTGGATATTGAGTTGCTGGTATCAGACCCTTGATTCACCACTGACTGAAATTTAACAAATGGGGAAGCTGAGGCCTGCGAGCAATGAGCAAAGCACCATGGGTGTTGGCAGGAGGCACATGGGCCTGGCCATGCGTCTGCACCCCCATCCCTGGGCCATGAGCATCAGTCAGCTGTGCCCCGTGCTCCTTGTCAGGCCACTGCCTGGCTACCCAAGGGCCTGCAGCCCCAGCACAGCTTTGGGAGCAATTGGACCAGACTGGAGGCAGACAGGTCACTGGCCAGCAGTGGGCAGAGGCAGGAGGAACTGACCCTTTGACTCCAGGGAAGCATCGGGGAGCAGGCCAGGCCTTGTACAGGCCAAGGGAAGCATATTCGTGTGGGGTGGTGAGCTGGGGGCTGAGCAGTCCAAGGGGATGCTCACAGGCACGTGTTGACCCTCATAGCCTCGAGGACCCTGACGCTGGGCCAAAGGCACACACTCCCACATTCACCCACCCACACATGCATGCCACCACCTGGGACAGTGACACCCCCACCCAAGCTCCATGACCCTAGTTTGCATCTCTATAGTATCCAATGGTTTCTACTTCCCCCAGCCCCAGCACGCAGATGAAAAAACCAGGCTCAGAGAGGTTTAGCAATAGCAACTTGCCCCACGTCACCCAGCAGGCAGTGGTGAGCTGCTTCCCACATCCACCTCTTCTCTCCAAACCTCTCCCCTGGGGACCCTGACTTGCTCCCATGCCAGGGTGCTGGGCTCTGTCCATCCTTTCTGAGACATGCTCCAAAGGGCCTGCTGGGCACCACCCATAACCAGGTGTAAATCAAATCCAGTTGCAGCTCATTAAAGGATGCTATGGCCCAGTGGAAAAATGTGTCTTCTGCCTACCCACTCTCCTTGTCTAAATCTGGTGTGAGCAGGAGCTCTGCAAGGAGCCACTAGAGAGGACTTCTTCCAAACCGTCTGTTCCCAGCCTCTGCAGGCACGGGCTTTACGCTGGCAGGGTGGACCCAGGGACTGGCACTCCTGCCAGATGCCAAGCTCCTCCCCTTCCAGGTGTGGTATCTGTCTCACCCCATAAGCCTCCTGCTTGCCCCCAGCTGAGTCAGGCCCTTTCAGGTACCCCTTAGGCCAGCCAGGGTTAAGGGTGATCCAGAGACCCCCAAGATGACCTCCCCCTCCCAGAGATCACCTGAACTCTCCTCCAACCTCCTGTCCTGTGGCCCCAGAGGGCTGGCTTAGTGAAGGAAGTAAGTTGGCTGGAACACCTTGTAGATGGCATTGAGCCAAGAGGCTGAGCTGCGGTCACCCTGGCTGCCATTCCTGCTTTGAACTTGGCCCCCAGCCCTGTAGCCACCCCCTAGCAGAGGCTCGCTGGATGGCAGGAGCCCTCTGCCCCTTTGGTACCAGGCACACAACATCTCAGACACACAGCCTGTATCCATGGCTCTAAGGCCCTCAGGCAGGCATCCACCCTCTGAGCCTAGCTCAGGAGACTCTGGGAACCCCAGTGCAGCCAGCAGGGCAGGGGATGAGGACGATGGCCTGTTGGGCTGGCCCCTAGGGGTGGGGAAACTAGGCCTCCAGGCCTCAGTGTCCAAGGGGGTGTGGCCACCAGGCCCGTCCAGGCCTGAGATCCTGGAGGTGGGGTGGCCCCCACCCTGGCATCTGGTGGGCAGCATGCTGCAGGCTCAGGAGTCTGTTGGCCGGAGCCTGTCCTGCCCGGAGCCTAGCTGAGCCAGCAGCAGGGGGCACAGGGACCGAGTGGCCCAGCCCCTTGGGCAGGGTGTCAGGGCCAGAGCCCAGAGGACGGAGGTTCCGGCTCCAGTCCCAACCGGCAGATCAGAGTTGGGCAGTCGGGCAGCAAGCAGCGACCAAGGAGCACTGGGCACCCAGGGACTTGCCTACCCAGAGCTGCTTCCAGAGCCCAGAGGGGGCACCCTGAGGACTGGCATGGCTGCTGCCCCCAGGGACATTTCATCAGTCTCAGAGTGGCTCAGCAGAGGACTGCAGCTGGGGGCTGACTACGGAGGTCTCCAGAGGGCAGGTGGGCGCAGGGGCTGCCAGGGGTTAGGGGAGGGATTGGAAATTGGAAATCTTCTGTGGCCCTGGGTTGGAGGGAGGGAAGAAGGGATGGTGCTCAGTCCCCAGCTGGGTGCTGAGTGGGGTCAGACCCTATTCCCCTCCTGGTGGGACTGATGTATGGGACTCTGCCCTGGGGGTGACAGTGTAGTTATGAGGTCGGCTGATGCCCCAAGACAGGAAAGAAGGTTCCTAGGCTGGAGATGCTGGTGCCCAGGAGCCAGGGTGCCAGGGGCTCCAGGGGTATGAGGGGATGGATCCTCCTAAGGATGTGCCCTACTGGGTGGGGAAGGAAAAAAGAGGGAAAAGTAGAAAGAAATAAGAAGGCGAGATGACCAAGGATGGTAGGGTAAGGGGCAGAGGGCTAGCAGGATAGAGACAGCAGGAAGAATCTGGAGGAATGGTAGAAGGGGCAGGCCTCGGTGTCAGAGGAGGTGGGTGAGTCGGGAGAGAGGTCAGTGAGCAGGAAGGTCTTCTGTTGTCCTCCCTTGGCAGATTAAAACCAAGGCCCCAAGAAATGGAACAGGGTGGGTATTGGCATTGGTTGGCCCTGCTCCTAGTCCTTGGAAGAAAAATGGAGAGGGAGGGAGAACAGGTTTGGTGGAGAGTGGCATGGAGCCTACAAGAGGATGATGGTGGTGAGGAGGAAGGGAAGAAGGCCCCAGGGAAGGAGGAGGCAGGAGGGAAGCAGAGGCTGGTTCTCACTGGATCAGAGTGAGATTGGTGCACCTGGACTAGGACTCCTGAGTGGGACCCTACCTTGACTCCCGGGTTGGGGGAAGCTCTTCTGCTCTGCCACAGCCTGGTTTCTCAGAGGCTGAGGGGTCAACCTCATCATGCCACTGACCCCCCTGGTCCTCCAGGACACTGCCCCTCTGATCTACAGCTTGTCCATCATGGGGATACAGGGAGGACCCAAGCTGCTGTTCAGTGCCTACTTTGTCCCATTAAACGTGACTCTTCTGATCCAGCAGCCCTTGGTCTTGGCCAAGACTCAGGTTGAGGGACCAGAGCAGGTTGTCAGAGCAACCTTCAATTGTTGTAACACCCAGGGGGATTTGATCTCCCATGGCCCTCTGAGACTGGTCCTTGGTCCTCCATTTGTACAGAGCAGAAACCAAGGCTGGGGAGGAGGAAAGGCTCACCCATTGCCCCAGGGCAGGAGGGATCTGCAGCCTCGGGGCATAGGGCTGAGTAGCCGCACTCCGGAGGCTGATGAGGGACTGCCTTGGGTCTGGGCCTCTCAGTGCCCCATGAGTCATCAGACACAGGGGGGTAGGGCACCCCAAGAGCTCATAGGAGGCCAAGGGTCAGGCAGGGACCCCAGGGCTCCAACAGGCAGACTCGAGGTTGGAGCAGGAATGTTCAGATGCCCTAGGGGCAGGGCCAGGAGCAGGCACTGGCTGCGCTGGACTGATTCGCAGCCTGGGTCCCACCCCAGGAACAGCCGGGCTAGACCGCATGGGGGATGGGCGGCATCTGGGAAGCATCTGCGGGCACAGCCGGAGCTGAGTGGGCCTTTGGGAAGAGGTGGATCTGGGCACGCCGGCCAGAGAGGGAAGAGGAGGGATGGCAGAGCCCAGGCTGGTGCCAGCCACAGTCGCGTGCCAGGGAGTGTGCCAAGCCTTGCCTCTTGAGCACCGTGAGCGCTCTGCCAGGGCAGCCTGCCACCAAAGCCACGGGCTCTGCTGGGCACCATCCAGTGTAGAAAGGAGACGGCACTGCGACCCTTCACCTCCTCCCCTGGGAGGTCGGCAGGCGTGAGCAGAACTGGAGTTTTCTGATGGCAGGGCAAGGGAGCCGAGAAGGTCTCCAGGGCTGCTGTGCACTTGGCCCAGCCCCTGCGGCGTTGTGGTCAATGACATGGAGAGCAGAAAGGCTCGTGGACATAGCATGCAGAAGGAGCTGTGGAGAGAGAGCTAGCCCAGGGCCAGCAGGAGCTGCAGTCACATGGGATTCAACCGGCAGGATGAACTGGGAGGAGGGTAAGGCTCTGACTTCCAAGCCTAGGCCCCGAGGGGCAAGTCTGGCTGAGCAGAAGGGGCCAAGATGTAGAAGAGCCGCAGTACCAAGGCAAGGAGGCTGCCGGCACCAGACTAACCACGGAGCACATCGTGAGAGGTAGGGCACTCTGACCAAGGGAGGTGATGGGCTGGCAGGTGGGAAATGCAGCTTAGCTCTGGACCTCACTTTGCGTACAGAGTGAACAGACCCTGGTTCACCCTCTGAAAGAAGTGTGGGATAGAGAGGCTGGTACATGAGGTATGAGGGCATCCTCACTTCCAGTCTCACTGAGTCCTCAGGGTCCTGTACAGCCCATCTGTAAGCTCCTATGAGGAAGGTATTTGGGGTCTTTCTGTCCTAAATTTAGAGCATCTGTTCCTGTGTCAGGACCTTTCCCAAGGAAGGGCCTTTGGGCAGAGTGAGGGTTTGCCCACTGGCCTGGATGGTATGGTGGGCAGCCTGGGCTATGGTCATCTACCTGGCACTCAGCTGGGCTCCCAAGGAGGTTGCTATGACCACTATAGTTGCTATGACAACTCCTGGGGTACAACCATCACAGGGGCTGGGAGCAGTGGCCATCAAGGGAAGGACCCTCCCCTGCCTGCCTCTCCTGAGTGAGTGTCAAGTCCAGAAGGTCAGGGGGCAGGTGGCAGGCAGCAAGGGAATGGGTGGGCAGTGGTCAGCCTCAGTTTTGGTGGGGGCAGAGACGGGTCTGGGACTGGGTAAGTGTGGGATGCAGGAGATTGGGGACCCTTCCCCCTACACCCCAGAGGTAGGAAGGCTGGGGAAGCTGGAGACTGAGACCTTCTGACTGTCCAGGTTCCCAGGCCTGGAATGTGGGGTCACAAGGAGTGGGGGCTGTGCCTCTGGCCTCCAGGAGGACTGGAAAGGCTCTGGGTGCCTGCTCTGTCCAGCTCCCTAAAGCCATGGCCCCTGTAGATGTCTCCCAGGTTCCTGTGCATCCACTTCCCCACCCCCAGCAGCTTCTCCCCAGCACCACAACCCCAAGCAGCACATCTCAGGCACTCTGTCCCCAAGGACTCGTCGGGCCAACCGCCCTTCTCAGAGGCTTGGACAAGGAGCATCCTCTATGCCCCTAGGTGCGTCTTGGGTCAGTGCTGCACTTGGCCTCTAAGATTCCTGAGGGCTGGGGAAATTCAGGGTGTTTTGAAGGTCCCTAGCATCATAAGAAAGGAAGTACTGGAGAAGGAAGAAGGAGGGAGGGAGACACTGGAGCAGGTTGTGAGGAGGGAGGGATGGCGCGGCAGTTCACTGCAGGTTGGGAAGGGGAGCCGGATGCAGTCCTGGCAGTGCCTGGAGTGGGGCATGTGGGACATGTGGGGCAGGCAGTGTCCTGAGGGGACTGGGGGGGCCCAGGCAGGAGCTGTTACAGAGGCTCTTGTTGGTGAATCCTCTTGCTGGTGGTAAGACCCCAGGCCTGGCCTTGACTCTACAGCTATAAAATGGGTGGGGGGAGCTGCCCAGCAGGACAAGAGCTGAGTGTGGCAGCCGAGGGCCCCAGGGATGGACTGGTTCTGGGGTCAGTGCAGAGGATACTGGGGCCAATGTTCTGAGGAATGTCAGGTAGGGCAAAGTCTGGGAAGAGGCCACGGGGAGGAGGGCTGCTGGTGACAGAGCTGCACCTGATCCCATGGGGGAGAGGGGTAGCAGACCTTGGCAAGGCTAGTCGTCCCTGAGCTCTAGGCAGTAGCCAGCAGGGAAGACTGCAGAACTGGATGAGCTTCCTTGGCCTGGGGAGTTCTGGGTGGAGGCAGCGAGAGGCCCCCCAACAGGGAGAAGATGCCTGTGGGGACCACACAAGCTGTAAAGGCCACAAAATGCTGGGGGGAGGGGCTTCTCTCCACCAGTACAGCCTTGCCTGAGACAAAGACCTATGGGATGTCTGGCCTTTTTACCGGAGAGCTTTTCCCATCCAGAGGGCTCAGAGAAGGGCTGTTGCTTGCCCAGGGTGCACAGCGCCTCCTCCTGGCCTGGGGGAAGGAGCCAGAGTCCCAGATTTCTGCAGAATTCCTTACAGCTTCTTCTCTGGGGCTGTCTCCAGGAATCCTGGGTCACAGACTCGCAGGGACCCTAAGGCCAAGGTATGAGGAGCACACTGCAGGGCAGGGACAGCCTCCCTTGCTGACTCTCTGTACTCTATCCCTTCGGCACCCTTTGGAGTGTCAGCTGGCTCTCCATGCTCTGTGGGCAGGTGTCCAGGCAGGCTCCCAGATGGGACTGTCCACCAAGGCCAAAAAAGACCGAGGGTAGGGTAGGAGGCAACCTTGGCTGAGCCCTGCCCTGGTGTGGCTCAGTCGCCCCAGAGATATACAAGAGAAGTGGAGATAGGAGCCTCAGCACTGCCCATCCCTAGCCCTCTCTAGGCAGGGCTCCCTTCTGTTTCCCCAGGGTGAATGTGCTCCCCTTCCTCCCATTCTGACCTCCCCTGGCTCTTCTACCTGCTGGCCTGTCCCTCCCTTCCCCTGAGCAGGGGCCACTGGGTGTCCAGTTGGACTGCAGTTTTCTCCACTCAACAGCCCATCGCCATAGAGCCTCATCCCAGGTCACCCCAAGAATGGCAATAGGCTCCCCATTCCCTTCTCCCTTCCTGTCTGCCTTCCACAAGCCAGCCAGAGGCTCCTGGCTCTATATCCTCTGGGCTTCTCTCCTCCATGCTCAGAATCTTCTGTGGCTCCCATAGCCTCCAGTTTAGGGGCTCTGTACTTGGCAACTCTCCCAAGGCCTGGCCCTTCGGAGCCATCCCTTCCAGGAATAACGCTAAGGAGGTCATAGAAAGACTTTATCATGTGTGTTCATTACGCAGTAGCCGGGCTGACCATTTGGTGTACATTAGCTCCTGTGGCCCTGATAGATGGGGACACGGAGGCCCAGGAGGCTGCTGGTGGTCTAGGCTTTCAGGGGCTGGGAGGAAGTAGTCAGGAACCTGAACCATTTGACTCCTGAGCTCTCCTTCCCACCTGGATGAATGAGCTGCCCATCCTTGGTGGGGCCTGCGGGAGACCTGAGGGGCTGTGCTTGGTCCAGGAGGGTGTGGTATCCCCGAGCTCTCTCAGGGGAGAAGTGGGCTCCTCTTGGTCCACTCGGACCAGCTCAGGTTGCTGCTACCTGGGTTCTTCCAAGGCTACCCACCCAAGACCTGGTGGGACCTGCAGCAGCCACCAGAAAGACCACAGCCACCAGACCACCAGACCACAGACCACAGCCACCAGAAAGACCCCCTGGCCCATGCTACATGCTGGGGCTTTACTCAGTGTCTCTCCACACTGAGAAAACTGAGTTCCACCTCCCACAGAACAGACACCATGGCAGTTCTGGAGGCTGTTGCCCTGTCCCTCTTCCCAGCCCAGCTCAGCCCACCCCTCACTTCTCCCTCCCAGTTCCTCTTGTCTAAATCCTCCCTGCCTGTCCAGCCTCGCTGGCCCCAGCACACCCAGGGCTTCCTAATAGGTTGCAATTCTGGTTGCAGCTTCTCCTTCCCAAGCTGCCCACATAGACCATGGGGACAGTACTTCTGGGCTCTGCATGTTTCGTGTCCTCCCTGACTGTGCCCTACCACTCCTTCCTCTCTGGCCTGAGGATCCTTGCTCAAATTCAAGGTCACCTCCCTCTACAAACAGCTCATCATGGGGCTTCCCTGGACAGTGAGGCCAGGCTCTTGCCCTGTGAGATGTCCCCCTCACTCACCAGCCCCTGATGACAGGGAAGGGATTGGCCCCATCCCCTCCACACCTAAGAGAAAAGAGACACACAGGCAAGGTGCTACAGGCAGGGCCCATCCTAGGGCCAGGCTCTTGTGCCCTTACCCAAGCCCTCCTACCCAACTCTTCCAGTGCTCACCAGCTGGCCTGGAACTGTTTCTGATTTACTGGCACTGCTGCCTCCCCGGGGAGGGCGACAGCTGGGCAAGCCATACCTGTGACCTGTCTTGGCCTGCCCCAGGGATGGGACCCCAGCTTTGAACCATCACAGAGCTTGTCAAAGACTTCATGAGTGGCATCCTATGCTGTGGGACGCAGGTACTGGCCTGCTGCGGCCACCTTCTCCCTGGTCTCCCAAACAGACTCTGGTCTTTGCCCACTGCTTGCAAATGTCCTTGAGCCAGCCTCCACATGGGCTCATCTCCTCTCTCTGCTGTCTCCTCTCCTAAGGGTTCTGTGGCCTCTTGCGGGACCATAAGCATACAATCCCAGCATATAGATCTCAGTAGGCTGGGCTCATGAGAGCAACAGAAACTTTGGTGGTCTCAGGAAACCCAAGGCTTTCTGATCACCTCTAGCCCTGTGGCATCCAGCAGACTTAGAGGAGGGAGGTCTCCCTACAGGCAGCCTGAAGAAGGCACTTCGACATACACATGTACCTTCTTGCTTTGGTTCCTGCCCTCAGCCAAATCCTGATCTCTCCCCAGGCCTGGGAGCAAACCTGCAGCTGACCTTTTGGAGATGGCTGGACTGGTCAGCCACAACAGCTGCCTGTAGGGGGCAGAATTGAGACAGGGACGAGACAAAGGCCTGAGCCCCTTCTGGAACTCTCTGCTGGAACACAAAATGGGTGGGCAGCTGAAAGGATGGACCTAAAATGGGCACCCTTGGACCCTGGTAGGGACTAGGGAGCTGCGTTGGGGGGAGCAGCAGAGGAGAGAGAAGAAGGACTAATGTCCCTAGTGGGAGGTGGCAGGCAGTAGACATGGTCACAGAGACCACCTTGAGCTCTGGGAGCCCCTCTCAGAAGAAGGAGCAGCCTGGGGTCTGCACATACCGCTGCACCTGGGTGAGGACCAAACACCCCCTCCACTCAGACCCTGGGATGTTGTGGGTGCTGGGGGACAGGGCCCCACATCCTGGCCCCTCAGGCTGAGCCCCAGGCCACAGAGCCAGAACAGACAGGAAATGGCCTGATTGCATTTGCACCGGAACACCAAATCCCTCGCAGCTGCACTCAGCTGGGCCAGGGCCACGGGCGGGGTGGCCATCGCCAGAGCCCTGACAGCACTGCGGAGCTTGCCAAGGGGTCTGGGCTGCTGGCCGGGGGGCGCCTTTCCCAGGCCAGAGGCCCCCACCCCACCCCAGGAGAGCCGCCCCCTTTCAGTTCCCAGAACGGAGCCCAGCTGTGGAATAGTGAGGGGGTGAGGTCATGGGGAGGGGGCCCCTGCATTACTCATATCCTGGGGCAGGCGGGAAGGGAGGAGGCAGGGGAAGGGGCCCTGGAGCCTCTTGTCCTCACTTACAGGGTCAGGAGCTGGTGGGCAGAGGGGCTTCTCCTCAGCCTGGGGCTTGAGGGAGACACTGGGAGATGCCAACCCTGAACCCCACTCTGTCCAGAGAAGGCTAAGTGGGGATGACCTTCAGGGGGCCCAGCTCTGTGAGATGTTCCCAGAAAACACAACTTGGCCTCCTGCCAAACCCAGCTCCACTGTTGTCTGGGTGATGTGGAAGAAAACAGTAAATAAGTGAGGCAGGGGCACCCAGAGGAATCTAGGAGGGGGCCAGGACCTGCCACTTTGTGATCTCCTATCCCTGGACCCCTGTCTACACTTGCTCAGTGTCGTCTCTGTGTGTGCACATGTGCAAGCCTGTGTGTGGTTGTGTATGCCCACGTGGGCACCTGGAGAACACGTGTATGCTTGTCTGTCCTGCCCGGGTGGGAGCTGGGCGCAGCTCTGTGCCCTATGATTTGTGTGTCACTGCTTCTGAGGGGGTCCCCGGAGACTTGCACACATTTGCTTTTGGGGGCCCCCTGGGCCTGGTGGAGAGGTCTGAGAGGAGGAGAGCCCTGGCCCCAGGTAGAGAGAGGTGCCTTGGGCCAGCCCAAAGGGGGAGTTGAGGCACAATTCTATGCCTCAGGTCCAGATTTACATAACCACCTGGGCAAACACACACACACACACACACACACACACACACAC